TGTGAAGTTACATCGACTGAGATAGTCAGGACATGTGTTACGTGTGTCTAGTCATCGCCTTCCTCGACGGGAAATGTTAGCTGACTGACATATGGTCAGACTGGAAAAGAGCTAGCGGCGGTCAAACGAAAACATTCATGTTGTTTCACTAGGATCTTTCCATTTCTTCTCTTCGCAACTTAATCCATCCCTCCGATATTCAATATTCTTGAAAAAGACATCACACGCAGTACAATACTCACGGAATTCTATTAGTAGCATACGGGTATTTCTTGTTTAAAATAACGTCCTGTTTCGTGTGTTGAGTACAAATCACTTGTTTGGCGACAGTCAACCGACCAGTTCTAAGATGCCAAGTTCCTTTGCGTTGAGCATATGCATGAAATGCTTCATTATTTCTTCGCAGATACTTAAGCCTAAGAAGTGAAGATTCTTTTCCACTTTCTCATCTAGTATGTTTGAATGAGCAAGGCTGGTTAGTTCTTGAAAAACACATTACCGAGGATTAGTCATAAAGTGTGCTACCCGTAGTCACTCCGTATAATTTGCTAGTAGATTTACGCATTCCTAGTGCCTCCAGTTGATTATCTTATTTACTCAAAACTAAGTTTTATTTACCAGGTTATGATACTATCCACTTGCCCAGGTTAAAGTAGATAGAGCGGGGTTCAAACATTGGATCTGTTAACTGGAGTTTTATTGCTTAAACTCACATCTCTGATAGCTAACCGAAATCTACTGACTGACCATGCTAAGCTGTCACATCATGACACTCTTCATGGATACCTTCAGACCCGAAGCTCCCTGCAAATTGGGTCTTAAATTCTACTACTAATTCAATTAAGACGTGGAGACCAAAGATTGAGCGTAGTGGCCTTCACTTTCTTCATTCCTTTGCGTTCCGAGTGTAACATAGGGATTCAAGCTTCAACTTTGGAGTTTCTGTTGCAGCAGTGTTATTCTGCATTTACGGAGTTCATTTGCCAGCCTTACGCTCAAACCTCTCGTTTTACCCGGCTTACTACCGGTTTAGCGCGGTCTAGGAATGTGTCGGTCAGGGATCGAACTCTGGACCACCAACGCACAAGAATCCTCATTATCTTTGTTGAATTCTCCAATGTTTCTACAACTGGTCAATAAATACAGAGGAGAACATAGTTAGCTTTCTTAACACTTGCATAGACTTTAAATTCAACAATGTTGCTTTTCTCAGCCAATGCTTTCACTACCTACTCGAGTGAGATAGATTAGTCACCTACTAAGAACAGTTAGGGTTGGAAGTTTCATACTAACGGTCCTAAAAAGGACCTGCAGGGCATACACTGCTCTGGCTGACAAGAACAATCAAGATACACGGTCTAACTTTATGTTTGTCACATATTCTCCCATAAATGCATATTTTTTTATATATTTCAGTCGGGTGCTGTCCCATTGATTAACGCTAGCAAATGAGTCGAATTCGGATGATTACTTGCAAACGGTGTTGTACATACGAGATGTTAACAAATATAACCCTATTCATACAGTCTTATTCATTCTTTTTCTCATATTTATTAGTCTGCTAGGAATTGTTAGACAGCAATAGGATGACAAACTAGCTCAATAAGCGATATGTGCAGAAGGCGACTGACACCACTATTTGTCAGGAGATATTACCTAGTTGAAAGGCAACTAATGGCATCACCGCAATATGATTAAATCCAGTCAAAATCAACTGGTATTCCATGTTTCTTAAGACTGTTAGTCCGCTACATAGGATTTTAGAAAAAAAGAAATTAATTCCAGTGTGTTACTCTATATATTTATTTCTATTCAGAGCCAATGAACAGTCCTGCACAAATGGCGATATACTTCAGATGTAATAATGAGAATTCGGTTTAGGCATTAAACAAATTGTTTGCCAGTCAAAACCCTTATTTATTCTCCAGAATTAGATGTGACGTTGCTTGGTTTTCTTATCAAATTGGCTGGAGCTTTCGAGGATTCTCCTAACGTAGGCCAGCACTCGGAATTGATATTAAAACTTTTAGAAGTCTGTGGCTTCGGAGGACTGCGTGAGAAATGAGCAACACGATCTGGACCAACAACGCTCAGTGCGCCTGCACGAGAAACCTATGCAAGCATTAAAAAAACAGGGAAATAAATCCAAATCAGATGCAAACTGTAAAACTGACGAAGCTGGTAAGGAAAAAACTCGCTTAGACACCACTATAGCCTGACATCGAACACGGTGCTGCCCAACTTTTAAACATAGTCAGCTATGTAACAATAATTGGGTCATCTATTTCAAAACACTTCCCACGCATATACAGAACAAGTTGAAGCTTAACTAAGCGCTAATTCCAGTTACAAGAATGATGGGCCATTAGTGATGACTGCATGAAACTATCAGTTCTTGGGTTACCTGAAATATTAAATTAGGAGTCTGTGGCGGTGACCAAATAATATGTAATCTTTATGTAAAGTGCGTAAAGAATACTTAACACACTAATTTAGCGAACTGCCAGTGATGTGAAACATTGTTCAGCTAAAGATTATCAGCTAAATATGTGTGGTAGCTTTGAAGTCACACTGACGTTAAGCGCATCAAAACATCACATCAAATTGGAGAAAACTTATGCCCTTACTGAACGGCCCTTAAGTGAGTAGTGCAGCACGAGAGGAAACTAAACGGCTTTGTTAGTTCCACTAAAAGATATACCCAAGTGAAATCTCATCAAACAACTAAAACTCATCAGCCAGTATTGAAAGTCACGTGAAACAATAGGTATTTTTAAGTAGAGTATGAAGGGGATGTAGCAAAGCTAAATTAGTGATGGACTGGATTATCAGCAGTGGTCGAGATTTTAAGTTAGGAGTTTTCGAAGTAGTTCGCACAGAAAATAGGCGATAGTTAGCTTGTTTCAAGTTTTATGTAACATTAAAAATAGTCGAAAGTAAGACTTACCTCTGCAAAACTAACTGGCAATGTACTCTTCTTTTGCGAACTGTTCGTCCCGGATGAGAGTGCGACAAAATCAGACATTTTAGGTTGTTCTAAGAAATATATTTAGTAAGGCGAAGTATACTCACCTTGTTTTTCGGACAAAGAGACATGACCACTCAGAACGAAACCTGGAGCTAAAAATGTGAACATATAAAATATTTTAATTATTATATGGAAAATTATTGATTGTAGGTTTCGTACAAAAATATCGAAAGAGATATATTATACGTCGATTAGCGAGTGAAACTTATTTAAATGCTAATTTGAGCGGTTGACTTAACGTCAGTTCAAGCTGCATATTTCAGGAAAGCAAAGACGAAATAGAGGAATTAACTTTGACGAAGTGACAGTGAAAAGTTAAATGAAGGTTAATGAACATTTCCGAAATCTGGAGGATGGAAGAGGAAGGGGTTAACAGCACAAACTTAATGCCCTGAAACAAAATTAACCTTTTGCCGATATGTGACGGTGTTTTGAGTGTAAACAGTGATGATGCAACATAACATTGCAACACAGATATGGGTTATTGGCATACACCAAATACAAACAGTTGGAGAAAACTGACCAACCAACGTACAACTTAGCAAATCAAGGCATTAGCTGCGATACCCTTGTTGGTATAACAGCAAGTTTCTTAACGTTAAATAGAATGTACTAGCTTTAGAGAACTAATACCCGACCTATTAACCTCAATATACTTAATTAGAAATTAGCCAAGTATTTGAAAATATCCACATAACCCCTCTTAGACAATCTTCAACGAATTCCTCAGAATTCGAACCTTCGGTCACACGTATTTTTTAATGACATGATTCAAGATTAAAATTTGTTCTAATGGGAAAATATTTAACAGCCAATAAGTATACGGCACTGCTAACTGGTAGAGCGCTGGCCGACCATGCACGTGGTCCGGGTCGGTGCACATCTTTACCCCCCTTAGCCGGTTACAATCCCGACAAAGAGGGGGGGTTGGGCATGAGGCTAATAACCTCACCCCGTAAAATTACCACTGTTACTGAAACTTCAGAGCTAAAGCTTGAGGCCTTATGTTTCAGTGGAAATTTGTTTTAAATGCCAACTGTAATTTGCCATATTTTTTGCCGTTTGTGTTACCTCACAGTCTTTGGACTTAGAGATGAGATATGGCGATAGAAAATGCAACACTGTGAATTACTAAAAAACAAAATTCCCCTTAACATATACGTTCCACTTTTTAAGCAAAAGAAAAGTAAACAGCTCTTACGTAGAGATGTGAACTGATTTTCAGCTGCTTCCTTCAGCTCGGTAAGTTTTAGGTCTTCCAATCGACTTCGATCTCGCTCCATTGCACGATTATTCAGAACTGTTGCATAATGGGCTAGAGTTGCTTCTGATACCAGGGGTGGTTCTAACTCGATTTCTACCAAACTGAAAGCATATCCATTTGGTAAATGGTTAAGATAACGCAACCGTTTACGAAGAAACTAAAACGGAAAAACCACAAAGATGCAATATGACAGGATAGTATATGGTGGTTGTGGTGAGTTTCGTTGAAGCTTTATAAAAACACATCAGATCTCGCCCTTACACCCACTTTACTTGGTACAATTTAGCCCACCAGAATGGTGTCCACTTTGCAAACGTGACTGATAGGAATCAGTCTGCACTAAACAAAGCACTAGTTACTGACTATTATTCTCTCAAACTTAGCATACTCACCTGGGACCTAATTCACATAGGGGAATTCAGTTCACAGAAAAGAATAGGCACAAATAGTGAAGATACTGCGGTATAACGTATAACTACGACAAATACGACTACTCAGCAGTACAAAGTGGATACTTTACATAGCTTCACAAAAAACTTACTGGGTTCATTCGGCAGTTTTTAATCGTGACAACAGTTGTACTAATCTCTTCTGGAAGGTTTTTAATATCTCCGTACTCAGTCAACAGGCATCTCCATGCAAGACCATCTAGGTATATCGGTTGACCGTCTGTGACTAAAAAGACGTTATTAAAGATAACACAGTTACCTTGGTAGAAATAGAGGTCATTAGCAGCGTTATTAGGATTACTCTGAGTATCACCGTCAGGAAGTTTATTTACACCCCCATAACTGTTAGGCAAAGCACAGTTTTCATGCTTCAATTTGTCGAGAACCAAGTCAATGAAAGGAATAATTTCGGTGTTGCTACCATCTATTTCACATATGGTCTTGTGTGTTAGGAGTTCATTGGTTTCCGTCTCATTGAAATTCATCATTGATGCAATGTCAGCGACGCATACACACTGAAAAACAGTAGCCCCATCTGTTTCAGTGGCTGACCGACGAGTCACCTCACTTCCTGAGCGCCTCACAAGTGCGAATTCCAAATTATCACCCGGCTTTATTTGCGTAGTTGGAACGAGTGATACCCTACCTTTTAAGTTTCAGAACAACTACTTACCTTTTTAAATCATCAAACGGTAGCAAGCAGGAACAAACGGCACACTTTTTGCTGGTAGAATCGTTCTCATACTTTATATATTGTGTTACACAAGGCCAGCAGTAAACGTGTCCACATTTACCCATCCGCGGTGCAACAGGTGAGTGCAGACATATGGGGCATGCTAAGTCACCTTTATTCGGAATCCTTACAGAGAAGACTTCATCCCATTCTGGTGATAATTCACTACTACCATTCTTGAGATATGCACACCCAGGGAGGAGCGTTAACTGACAGCTAAAAGACAGTCAACTATTTATTGATTAACCTACGAGCCGTGTATGTAGCCATCGTAGCTTGATTCCGGAGAGTAGTTCTTCCCGGAACTCTTTCCTACGTACGTATTGATGGGAATTGCGTCATAATCAATACACGGATCATAAAATCCTTTAGACCGCTTCTTTGACTGTCTGCACCTGACTTGAAAACGGTTGACTGCAGAGCGCTGACTTGATGAAGATCCCAGCAGGCTGGTGCACATTTTGCCATCTACAAAGGAGTTGGGGTTTAATGTTATCCTGACCTTTTCTTTCTGAGATGCTGGGGCGCTGAACGTTCATGGGATAGCGCACTAGCGAGTTTTCCATCGGTGGAAGGAACTTTTCTCTTGAAAATTATCGCAGATTGGTTTAAGTAGTTGAAAACCATATTTAGAACTCCATTATATCAAAATATCTAATAACAAGAACAGTTGGAAGTATGTGTTTGCCAATCCAAAGTTGTAAATTGGGAAAAAAATGGGCTTTCCGGAAAATACGTTGGCAGCGCCAGTAGCACCAGAGCTGATTAAAACTTAGTACGACCAACATTCAACATTCCTACCTCGCATACAAAAGATCTTTACTCTTTTCGGCAGTCATCTCTGACTAAAAAAACTTTTATAATTACTTCTCACTCGGACATACATAAAAAACTTACCTAGTTAGCTACATACACCAGTGACCTGTTTATATCACTGAGCACCTTTTGGAACTACTACTATTGATTTTTCGAAAGAAACTGAGGGAAGAACACTGCACGTTATAAGAAATTACTCTGAGTAGAACAATAACTATTCTAATAATATGCTACGGTTACCAATTTACTTGAAGATTGGATGGATGCTGAGAATTCTGTGCAGCGTGTGACCTCATTTTTCACAATTAAGACATAAACATTACCTTACAGACTATAGGAAACTAAAAGTGACTAATGGCAGGCTACAGAAGTAGTAGATCTGGAAGAAAGAAGAATGTTGGTTGATAGCGAAGTCAATACATGAGATTAATCGTTTCTGTTCTAAGTTTAATATAAGCTGATCAAATAAATTTAATGAGCATTACTTTCGTGGGGACAGGTATTCGTCTACAATGCAGGGCATTTGTGTTGTTTAACTAGAAACATAGTGGACGCTAAATTGCCTGATAACAAAACACTAACGCCATTTGCCACACGAATCTACTAATTCTTTTGAATTTCGTTCCCTTCAAGGTAATTAATAACACAGGACTAGCTTCCTTGACGAACATTCAATAAAATGCCTTAAAATTAACTAGAAAACAGCCTGACAAATACTGAGTCCTGGAGGCTGACTTTTAACCATCAACCGTGATTTAAGCGCCTATATGTTTATATCAGTGATATGTTGATATAAGTATGGAATCAGTGATATGTGATTTGCGATAGTCGCCGCCGGTATCGATATTCGGCACTGACCGATGGCTTTCAGTCAGTATTCATGCAACCACAACTGGTGGCCATCGAATTGAAAACATTTTTAGTTTCACTTGTCAGGTCTCGTCACAAACCAACATCAATTAGAGACCAAATAACACTTTCACTCTGCAAACAGCCGATAAAATGTCGGTAGCAACATTGACGTGTTGCGCATTGCGGACACCAAGGGTGAATTCGAGGAGGTCATCTGAAGTGGAGATGAAAGCATGTGGGCACACTTGAAGCCAGGTGAAAACTTTAGCAGAGAGTCCAACGCAATGGAGGAGTGCAGCTGAAGCCCTATGTTCCTCTAGGAATTAAAGGAAAAGATAATAATACATTGCGGACATCCACTGATTACTCAGAAACATTCATCAACACTCAGCATAGTTAGATAGAACTTTCTGTCCAGTTTACCGCCTGCGTTAGTTAAGGTTCAGCTTTATTTAGAAGGAAAAACACTTGACTGGATATTCTAGAGGAACTACCATGTATCGCTGGGAGTTTCAAGCATCGCACACGAACACCTTGTTATAATAAAAAAGTGAAGGCACTTTGGATGACTGAATACAAACCTTACTACCCTAACACTCTGTAGTCTAGCAGCTCACAGACAACATCGCCAACTAGGAGGGAGTCAATGATTTATGAAACGTAAACGACCACCAATTGTGTTTCAGACATTTGCACTGTACTACATATCTGCATTCTGACGAAGTCTTCGTAGACGGCCATTATTTCCTAGATCATTTCAGAATTTGGGTGGCTGCGAATATAATCCTACATCCAAAGTACACCTTTTCCATCAGTTTTACATCTAGTAATGAGCTGTTAGATACCAATATCATGCTTTTGTAGGTTGTTTTTCATTCCTATGAGCGTTAGATAATTCTGTTACAGATATACATATCATTTGCTAAAATTTGTAATTAACTGTCCGCCGGTCATTTTGCTCAGGCATTACGTATTATGCACTTAGATATAGGATTGCTGAAAACTTAAGATTTGCAATGTAATCGCCAGATGCATTTTTCGAAAGATGGTCTAACAGAGTCTCCATCGTTTGGGCTCTAATATAACTCTATTTGAAACAATTTGGTATTCGCCGATAAAAGAGGGAGGCTGGCGCATGCTGATTAGCAGATATGATAGTGGTCACAAATGTGAATCACTAAGATCTGTAGAACAGCAACATGCGTTTTCGACACCTCGAGAATTAAACATTTGTCTGGACCCTCAACAAAATAAGGGTTGTACAGATCTAAATTATAAGTAAAAAGTGCTTTTGCTCCTACCATCTACAAGCCTGTTCAGCTTCTTGTCAAGATGCTATACGTTGGGCCCTACAGAAATTCGTGAGACATCTTACAGGTGTGGAGTCCTCAAAAATAAACTTATCCAAATTTTACTATTATGTAAAAAATGAACACATTGTACACTACTTTGTTTTAACCAAAAGCTCTGTACTTTGAACTTCCCTCGAGTTTTAAATAAATATATAATTCTGCCTTCGACTCTCCGTCTTCTCCACCATCTCAACTGCCGTCGATCAATTATAACAACCTGCTTTCTATCTCGAATTTTTGCAAGAGCACCGTAGCCTCTTCCTACGCACTTTGGTCGACCTCCGGCAACGTCAACACTGGAGAATTAGAACTGTAGCAGTCTTCCCGCAGTACTTCTGGAATCCAGTACGTTTATTGTGGAATTTGGATCTTTGTAAACCCAAGTAACGAAACTTTAATATATTCTTCCCGTAGCTAAACTGGTTTGGTATTTTGTTTTCTATTTGAATTTTGGGTAAATAAGCTAACAGAGCAAAAGGCCCACCACAAAAATTGGTGAGCCCGCTTCGAACATTTTTTTCTTCGATGGTTAACCTTTCTTTTGAACATTTTTGCGATAGTTAACTCGTTTTGAACATTTTTGTTGCTATTTTGACCTTATAATCTCGCATTGCTTAATTTTTGTTACCATACTTTTTGCTATTTTGTATATCTCTATACTTAAATATTTTTTGACAATGGCTCCACCTAAACGTTCCACTGTTGCTGAAGAGGGTAATAAAGGCGAAGAGACACAGAACTCTTCTAATAACGCCTTATCGGACTTAAGACTACCTCAATTTGATCTGGCTGAACCACGTGTCTGGTTCACAATCATTGAACAGTTGTTTGCAGCTCGAGGTATTACGTCGCAGATTGCCATGTATGGTTGCGTATTAGCAGCAATACCCACGGAAGTACTTCGAGAGGTTATCGATGTCATAGACAGCAAGCCTACAGACTCTCAATATGACAAACTAAAAGCTGCACTTATCCAGCGGACCACCCTCTCCGATGAAAAACGCATACAACAACTACTTACTTCGTGTGATCTAGGTACAAAAAAGCCATCCCAACTACTTAGACATATGCGCCAGTTGATTGGATCACACAAAGTAGATGACTTAATTCTACGTCAGATGTTCTTAAAACGTTTACCGCAAAACGTCCAACAAATCCTAACAATATCTTCTAGGACGACAGACCTTGAAGAACTAGCTAAGATGGCAGACGATATCATGGACGTGTTATCAAATAATGGCATAAATAGCGTGTCTACAGAGGTAGTACCACCAAGCCCTTCCACATCTACGAAGGACACACCAATGTTTTGGTTACTTTCCCAGTTAACATCTCAAATGCAAGACCTAGGATTGGAAGTATCTGAGCTCCGAGCACAGCGGAACCAGTCACAGACAGTATCCAAGCAACGGCGACCAAGATCTAGACGACGTTCTAGAACACCGTCTCAAAGCCGTAACATTTGCTGGTATCATAGGAGGTATGGGCATAATGCCCTGAAGTGTGTCCGACCGTGCATGTACAATAGTGGTGACGCAACTCAGGGAAACTCCCTAGCCAGGCAGTAATGGCGACGGCTGTTACTGGCAATCATCCCAGTCGCCTTTTCTACGTGAGGGACTTGACTACCGGCACATTATTCCTAGTAGATACAGGCGCCGAGG